TTAGGGCTGTTGTCTAGTTTCAGAGTAGCAGCCGTGTCTAGTTCTTCGGCCGTTGGTATTTAAACTTTATCTCATCAGAACGGGCTGGTGCTAAAGGTTAATTCTATCACCCATGCATCCCTCATTTACACATCTTAACTAAACTAATCAAATTACAGCAGGGTTTGCAACAATAAAGGTTGCAGCAAGCCCTTACAAAATAAAGTAAGCGTTTTAAAATGGGGTTTAAATTACAATATGGCACAAAAGTTACAATGTAGGGAAAATAAAAAGTGTAATAAAAGTTACAATGTAGGCAAAATGGCAGGTGTAATAAAATGGTAAACAAAAGTTACAATGGTACAAAATAACTAAAAACAATTTCATTCACATTGGTTCTACACCTCTGACCCCTCCATGGCCCCATCCCCTGGGGTGATGTAAGCCCCCCAGCCTGGTTTTCTCCCCCCACATGGCACCTCTCCCCACCCCCCCGTGCCCTCCAGCCACTGCCAACCCATCCCCCCGCACTAACAACCCCCCCACCCCCCGCAGATCTCATGGGCATGTTCGAGAAGCGCAGGTTCCGGAAGTTCCTCGTCTTCGTGGCCAATTTTGACGAGAACGAGCCCCAGACGCTGGAGGGGGTCGACCCCCGCGGGACCCCCATGCGGGACGTGTACGAGCGCTTCGACCTGGGGCAGGACGTGATCGACTTCACGGGCCACGCGCTGGCGCTGTACCGCACCGACGAGTGAGTTGTGCTCCGGGGCCGCTCCCGGGGGGGCCGTGCCCAGTTCGGGGGTGGTCACGTCCCTGCAGCAAGTCCCCCTGGGTCAGAGCCCCGGCGGGGGTGGGGGGGCGCCCCCCTCACCCTGGCTCTAAAGCTCCTGCCCCAGCTCTGCCTGGCGCTTTGTCCCCCAGCGGGTCCCCGGCTGGCTTCCTGCCCAGGGGTTGCCCCAAATATCCACGCAAGGGGCGTGACCATGGTCTCCTGGGGGGCCCAGCCCCTGCCAGCCGGGCACCTCTGGGTCTCTGCAAAGATCAACACCCCCCCACCCCGCCTAGTTAGCCATGCAGCTCGTGGGGAAACTGAGGCACTCACACTATTCATATGAAATATGAAACCCCCTGCCCTGGACCCCCCACCCCAGCTCTGCCGGTGCCCCTCACTCCCGACCTGCAGCCCCAGCCCTGGGCCCCCCTCACCCCGTCTCTCCCCACAGTTACCTGGACCAGCCCTGCCTAGAGACCATTAACCGGATCAAGCTGTACAGCGAGTCGCTGGCCCGCTATGGGAAGAGCCCCTACCTCTACCCGCTCTACGGGCTGGGGGAGCTGCCCCAAGGGTTCGCCAGGTGAGTGGGGGGCGTGGGGGGATGGCAGAGAGCTCGGGGGGGGGGGGGGGGGGGCCGGGGCTCCACGGGCTCTGTCCCCCTCCAGGCTCAGTGCGATCTACGGGGGCACCTACATGCTCAACAAGCCCGTGGACGAGATCGTGATGGAGAATGGCCGGGTCGTGGGGGTCCGATCGGAAGGGGAGGTGAGCGGGGGGTGCAGCGGGGAGGCACCAGCCCAACACACACAGTGATTTTGGGGGGTTCCCCACTAGGCCGCCCGTTAAATCTGAAGGGGGGTTCTCTGGTTTCCATCAGTGCCCCCTGCCTGGGGTATCGGGGGGCTGGCTTGTCCGATAGGGGCTGGGTTTGGGGCGCCTCTTCCCTGGGGAGGGGGGCTCAGGCCCAACCCCCAGTGGCTGCCTCCAGTTCTCCTTCTCCTGGGGGAGGGGTTGCCTGTCCCCCCCGGCCCGGTTCCTGTCTCTGCTTTGGGGTACCCCTTGCGGGGGTCGCTTTACCCAGCAGGGAATCTGGGGGATGCCGGGGGGGAGGGGGAGTCGGGCTGGGGGGGTTCCCCCCTCTCTCTCTGGGCTCAGGCCTGGGAGGGGCTGAATTCCTGTCCCCCCAGGTGGCACGGTGCAAACAGCTGATCTGCGACCCCAGCTACGTGCCAGAACGAGTCCGCGGGGCCGGGCGGGTCGTCCGGGTCATCTGCATCCTGAGCCACCCCATCCACGGCACCAGCGAGGCCGGTTCCTGCCAGATCATCCTGCCACAGAACCAGCTGGGACGCAAGTCGGGTCAGCGCCAGCGGGGCTGGGCCTGTCCCTGGGAGCTCCCACCCCCTGCGGCATCACGTGGGGCAGAGCTGCAAGGGGGGGGGGTGCAGGCAGTTGGGGCATCCCACGGGGGCAGTGCTGGGGGGGGCACCACACTGAGCACCCCGCAGGCCTGTACAGGCGACTCGGTCACTGCGGGGATGTCGCCAGCTGCATTTCCTTGTCTCCCTGGCCCCTCGTTAACTGGGCAGCCTCTGGGGGAAACTGAGGCACGCCCGCTATTTCTACGAAGCCTCACGACCCATCCCCCCCTCCCCAGATATCTACGTCTGTCTGGTTTCCTGGGCCCACAATGTGGCCGCGCCCGGGAAGTTCATCGCCATTGTCAGCACCACGGTGGAGACGTCGGAGCCAGAGCGGGAGGTGGAGCCGGCGCTGCAGCTGCTGGAGCCCATCGACCAGAAGTGAGGCCGGGGGGGTAGGGAGCCGGGTGAAGGGCTGGGAATTGTGGGGGGAATAGGGCAAGGAGGGAGCTGGGGAGCTTGGAACCCAGTGGGGGGTGGGGGGGTCTGACGGGGTCCCTGGGGTTCAGCCCCCCAAACCCACTAGCCTGGGGTGTCCCTCTATGGGCATCTCCCAGCCGCCGTCACGGCCCTGGGCTGGCCCACGGGACGATAACGCCCAGCAGACCCGGACTCGCCACACGCCCCGCCCCACGGCTTTGTACCAAACGCACGATCGGTGAATGAGGGGGGCCCCAGGGTGCTGCCTGAGGTGCAGAGCCCCCCGGGGGGGAAGGTCAGTGTGGGGGATGGGGAGATTCTGCTTCGCCAGGTGAGCTGGAAAGTGGGGGAGGGAGGAGCTGGGGGGGGTAAAGGCCTCTGGTGGGGACTGCGTGAGTGTGACTCACCCTCCCCCCTCTTCCCCGGCAGGTTTGTGGCCATCAGTGACTTGTACGAGCCCATGGACGATGGCACGGAGAGCCAGGTGAGCGCCCCGGCAGGGAATTCCCATCCCCCCCTTGTGGGACGTCCCATCTTCCCCCCCTCTGAGGGGGGGCCGGGGGAGGGCGGCAAAATCTGCAGATGATACAAAACTACTCAAGAGAGTTAAGTCCCAGGCAGCCTGCGAAGAGCTACAAAAGGATCTCTCAAACCTGGGTGACTGGGCGACAAAAAGGCAGAGGAAATTCACTGTTGATAAATGCAAAGTGATGCACATTGGAAACGTCATCCCAACTACACGTATAAAACGATGGGGGCTAAATTAGCTGTTACCGGAGACGGGGGGGTTGGAGTCACTGTGGTTGGTTCTCTGAACACATCCACTCAA